GACCATCGCACCACTGCTAATTATAGGTCTTAGAACAAAATATTTTGAAAAAAGAAAAAAGAAAAAACAACCACACCACCACCATTCCTGTCAACCATTGCCAATTATAGGTCACCGAATAGAAAATTTGGGGGAAAAAAAAAAAATAGCCGCACACCACCGGCATAGCCTCACTTGTGCGCAGCTTAACGAGGCGTCGCTTGCAGTCATCAAAAGAGGGGTGGCCCGACATCAGATGAGGAGTGAATGCAGCATCAGAATAGTTTGGGGTGGGTTAGGTAGAAAGAGTGAGAAGAGAGGGAGAGGAGAGGTGGAAGTGATTTTTAGGGTTTGGTAAAATTGAGTTGGGGTGGAGGTGGGGATAGAGTGGTGTGAATAATTCAATTTTATAATATTATTATTTGTATTTTAAAAGATGAATTATCATCTAAATTTTGAGAAAAAAAAACTTTTAAAATTTTATTTTTGAATTGAAAAGTTAAAAACCATGTGGGTGTAATAAAATGGAAATTACATGGAACTAGAATTTTCAAATTAACATTTCAAAAATCTATTACATGGAAATTACATGGAACTAGAATTTTCAAATTAACATTTCAAAAATCAAATTCAAAGCTTATTTTTACAAACACCAGATCATAATTAAACATTAGAGTGTGAAGATCTGAGCGGCGGGTGTGGTGTGGTGTTGATGCTATTAGCTGTGGTGGTGAGATTTTTTGTTGGTGGTGCAAGTGGAGGTCATGGCTATGGTGGTGGCGGTAGACAATGAGAAGGTGGTGACTTATAATTTGTGACCGATAATTTGTGACTTATAATATTTGTGACTTGTGACCTATAAATAAATTGTGACGTTTCAATTTTTGATTTGTGATCGATGAACGAATTGTAACTTATAAATTTTTTGAATTGTACGTTAAAATAATTTGTGATATATAAAATTTGTGATTTGTAACAAATGAATAATACGTGACTTATTAATTTTATAAATTTGTGACCGACGAAAAAATTGTGACCTAGAAATTTTTTTTATTGTGACTGAGAAATAATTTATGACCAAATTATATGGAATTGTGACATTAATATATTTAATTAATTAATTTATAAATAAAAATTTAAAAATATTTGAAATTTTAAACTTAAGTTTATAAATTTGAAATTGGTAAAACTAAACCACTTAGTTATGTATTATTTCCTTTAATAAATCAAAGGGAAAATTACATAGATCACGTGTTTAAATTTCAAAGTGCAAAAATCAGGTGTGAAATTTTTTAAATCAAAATTCAGGTAATTAAATATTATACCACCAAAACCTTAATTTCATTTCATCCTCCTCCATTTTCCCTCCTTCCCCTCTCTTCCTTGTCTCTCTCTGCCACTGTGCGGCGGCTCCTCCTCCTTTCCCTTTCCCTCTCTCCTTTGTCTTTGAGTCTCTCTCTGCCTGCTGTGAAAGGCGACATTGCCGTTCACCTTTAACTTTCTCTCTCTACCCCCAAACGCTCTTCCTTTTCTCTAGAATGGAAAAAAGTTCAGGCAACTTCCGGCCACCAAGACCACATTCCAACAAGTTCTCTACGCAGAGCACTAAGAGAATACCCAAAAGATAATGAAACCCCAAAAAAGATTAAAGCATATTTACTTGTCAAAACTCAGTTTGCGATGGGAATTATCTGTAAGAAATCTAATGTTGGTTTATAAGTTTCTATATGTGCAGATCAAGTGCCACTTGTGGACTCACAATGGAAATATTACTTGTGTACGTTCAAAATGGTTTTTAAGTTTTGCGTACAGTTCTGTGACTACAGTGCTTATGCTTTTGTTTCTTTTCCGCAGATACAGCTAGCTACAATCAAGTTTGTAATCTTGCCTATGTGATTACAAACACGTGTTTATTTGAGCAGTTATGATGAGTATGGTGTTGGTGAGCTTGGAAGTAGCATATGAATTTGACCCAGAAACTCTCGAACTCGTGACAGATGGACATATTTACTAGAAATTTCAACGTCGACAGGAAGACCCGTAGTGGCGGACTACCTGGGCTAGGCTCGCCCTCACATGGCGCACCTAGCCCAACCATGAGTCTTGACCAATTGAGCCTGAAACGTGACCAATTCTATAATCTGCGACCAACCATTTTGTTATCTGTGACCTAAAAATTATATAATCTATGACCGCGAAAAAATTTGTGTCTAACTAATTTGGAAATCTGTGACTGTGTAATCTATAAGTTTTGATATGTGACCAATGAATTAATTGTGACCTAGAAATTTTTTTATATGTGATCATTAAAAAATTTAACTAATTTGAAAATCTGTGACTTAACAAAAAAAATTGTGAACAATCCGTGATCGAAAATTAATTTTTAAGTAATTAAGATTAATTAATTAATAAATACCTGATTTTTGCAAGTTTGAAATTTAACACCTAATTTTTACAATTGTCAAAGTTAATACCTGATTTGTGAACTCTTTCCTAAATCTTGAAATAGGCCCAATCTTGCCTGTGAAGTAACCATTGGGCTTCACAAGGCCACCCAAATTTCGCGTCTACTAACCAGAAAACCCGTCCAGGAAATTAGGGTTTTTTCATATTATAAGAAGGATATTTTCCACGTTCGAGAATTTAGCTTCAGTGCCAAAAGGGCTCCCTTCATTTTTTCTGCTCAACATCATCGCCGCCGTAAGTCTTATCCCTGAGATCTCTGTATTTCTTCTCCGGCCATGTAATCCATCTACTGTATTCATTTGAATTGTTCATTCAAGTAATTTCTTATGCTTGACGTATTATATGTACAACGAGCTTAAGATTTTTCTTAATGAGATGGTTATGCTATTTCTTTTCTTTTAGGGAGGACATGTAGGAATATAAACTGAAGTTTTGTCGAATGCCTTTGATTTTTAACTAGTAGGCTTGTTTAGGAAGTGAAATGTGTTTGTTTTGTATCTATAGATATATGATTTTCTCCTTGATTAATGATGTATTAGCTCGTCTTTATTAAGCTATATGGTTTTAACATATGGTTAGTATATTGAAATTATTCAATCTGTTTCTTATGTAGCTCTAGTTAGTATTGCATATGTTACTTGTGTGTTCTGTATACCTGTTGCTGAACTGATTGTTTTTTAATAGTGGTGATATAATTACAAATTTTTAAATTTGTATTGATATGTTGATTTTGGGTTCTAATAATGATTCTTGGGTGGTTTAAGATTATTTGATTGGTTCTAGATTTAAACTGGGTACTCTTGTTATGAAATTTATGTTGAAGGCAAGCTATTTAAAAAAAGTACGGACTCGACTAGTCACTGGGGCATTAATCAATTTTTTTAAAATTCTTCATTTATACAATATAAAGTTAGTTTTATACTTAATTATTAATTTTTCTTGTTGAAACATTTTAAATATGAATACACATTTGTTATTTACTAATAACTTTGATTTAAAAATATATTTTTAATTGTCAAACATGGACACACTACTCTATTTGAATGTCCGTGCAACAAAGCAGAGCTATATAGATGTTGTTACTGATTTGCATTGCGGAGTAAAACATCAAATTTTTTTTTTAAAAACTTGTTTGGCTATGTGGTTAATTTTATCTGTTGCTCAGATTTTCATTAAAAGTTATTCAGTGTTTGTTTATCATTTGAGCTGTCTTTGATAGGCACTTACCTCTTGTTTGTAGTGTAGGTAAGTCATGGTTAAGCACAACAATGTTATCCCAAATGGGCACTTCAGGAAGCACTGGCAGAACTACGTTAAGACATGGTTCAACCAGCCTGCTCGCAAGACCAGGAGAAGAAATGGTAAACATCCAATTTCATAACTCGAAATGTGGCACAACTTGTATACTTATTATTCTTTTCTTGTCATCTGTTCCAAATATTTTATTGATATGTATGTTGACTTGTGTTTGATATATCTCATTTCCAGCAAGGCAGAAGAAAGCTGTGAAGATTTTCCCCCGGCCTACTTCTGGACCCCTTCGTCCCATTGTCCATGGGCAGACTCTGAAGTACAACATGAAAGTCAGAGCTGGTAGGGGATTTTCGCTGGAGGAGCTCAAGGTAATTTGTTCTCAGCTTGTCTGTTTCCTTGGTTTTTGGGAAGAATTTTATGTGCATATGATAGTTCAAAGTCTATGTCCAATATGTACTGTCGCAATGCTCATCCTATCTAGTATTCTACTGTTCGGACTGTAGATTTAATTGTTTTTACTGCCATAGTTATTTGATTGATACTTCACAATTTGCTGTTCCGGTTCATGGGAACTAGCTTGATGGAATTATCTCAGAGTTGTTACCTGGTTCTAAAATAGTACCGTTATTTGAGGTCATCCTTTATGTGCTCAAACTTCACCTTTGATGTGAATAAATAACTATTGGGTCTGTATCAATCAGGCTGCTGGCATTCCAAAGAAATTTGCCCCAACTATTGGCATTGCAGTGGATCATCGTCGCAGGAACTCTTCCCTAGAGGGGTTTCAGACTAATGTTAATAGACTAAAGACTTACAAGGCCAAATTAGTCGTTTTCCCAAGACGTGCTCGTAAATCCAAGGTAATGTTGATTTTCATCAGTGGAAAATTGCTGTACATTCTTTGTTTCTTTTTTGACGATTGCTGGCTCCCTTGTAGGCTGGTGATTCTACTCCAGAGGAGTTGGCAACAGCTACTCAAGTCCAAGGTTCTTACATGCCAATTGTACGGGAGAAGCCTACCGTGGAGCTCGTTAAGGTCACAGAAGAAATGAAGTCATTCAGGGCATATGACAAGCTACGTTTGGAACGAACTAACAAGCGCCATGTCGGTGTAAGAGCCAAGAGGGCTGCTGAAGCTGAAAAGGAAGAGAAGAAATAGAAAAATTTTAGCAACTGCGATTTTGGAATCTGTTTTGGTTTTGGGGGTCAGAATTGAGATACTGGATTTTTTTGTACCGTTGGTTCTATTCGAACTTCAATATTCTCTTTACGTAATTTGGTGCATTTGCCTTTACCCAAGTATGGGATCTTTAACCGCTTACATTTTTCATGTCAGTCTCTCTAGTTCTTGCGACAATCAGCTTGATGTTGGTTAGTGTTCCATCTACCCGATGTTTAGTTTCTACTTTCTAATCTATAATGAGTTCGGTGGTGATGATCCCAATGTAGGCATGACCTCGACGATGTTAACCCAAGGAGCAATGCTGTCCATCCCACCAATTTTTGCACTTACATCCTTGGCCACTCGGGCACATAAAGAGAACATCAGCGTCACATCGATCACGAAGGGATATCTCCTCAGGAACAACATTTCCGTTAGCTTGGGACCTCCTTGAGGTCATGTTTTAATCTCGAACCTAGCAAACTCCGACCTAGCATGACTTCTCCATATGATAAAGTTTATCCAATTCAAATGTGTTTTGAGTCTTGCTATAAATGTGCTACCTCTTCCTACAAAAATTCTATCACTGAAGTTTTATCTTTATTCAAACACATTGATGGTACAATACCAATCATGTTCAAACTTCTAAGCATGGTAGAACTCTTAGGGATTTCAACAACATAATCATAACATGAATGTACTACCTATATAAATACGACACTTCAATTCATTATTTATGTACGTTTTTACATAATTTTCAACATACATTTTTTTCATGAATTCTCTTTGACTTAAGCATATGAGGGGCGACGAAGACAAATATCGACAACTTTGTTTCAGATACCGAAAGATCATGTTTGTGCTCGTTCTCAGTCGTCAAACTTGAAAATCAATATGTATGATTTTAGGTAGCATCATGGCGCCGTCTGTGGGAATTGTTACCAAAAGCCATGATCAACACATGTCTAAGTCTTCCTCTAGCAAGCTAATCCACACTGGACCCTCTTCATACTACGGAGCCCCCAACTCATCAACGAGAATCATCAGCAGTACCAACCCCCAACCACAAGTGGTTACAGCAAGAGCTTTCGAAGAACTCCGTCAAGAGGTTGCAATGTTAACTCAATTATTAAGTCTGAGGAATCTTCATCCAGTGTAGGAGTAGACGCGGGCACCAACACCAACACCAACACCAACACCAACACCAACACCAGGACAAACAGGGAGATTCATACCCGCGATGCTAACAATAATGGTGGATCTGGGGCCTCGGGCATACCTCCAGTTGCCTCGACCTCGAGGTTCGTTGCTATGGACTCAAGCGAACTCGTTCGAATCATATGGGATTAGATTACTGCTAGCTACAACAGAACATCCAGGGGACGTCAGGATTTACCCTTAACACTCATTTCACACTGGAAGTACTTTCTTATCTGCTCTCAGACCGATTCAAACTTCCCCGCATGAAGGAGTACGATGGAACCACCGACCCCATCAATCACCTCAATGTATATACAGATGTAATGAATCTACAGGTGGCACCAGATCCTGTGATGTGTAAAGCTTTTCCATAAACTTTGACTAATGCTAGGGATTTGTTCTCTACCCTAGAGCTCAATGCCATTGCTTCACTCTCTAAGTTGGTCGACAAGTTTTCCGCCTTCTTTGCCAGTCGCAAACTCATCAAGAAAACAACCGCTTCCCTCATATAGCTTCGCCAAGGACCGAACGAATCCCTACGTAACTTCATGACAAGATTTAACAACGAAAGACTTCAGATACCCGACCTATACATAACAATTGCAATCTCCGCCCTCACATATGCCATAAGATGCGAGGCCTTCAAGATGTATCTATCAAAAACCCTGTCGAAGTAGGTGATCAAGCTCCTTACCCGAGTAGAAAAAAATATTAATATGGATGAGATATTGAACCCGAGGAGAGCTCCTCATCCAACCTCTGAAAAACACGAACACAAAAGACAACACGATTTCCATCATCTTCCGGAAGCTCACAGGAGTAAGCAAAGACAAGAGATGCAGGCGACATCATTCACCCGGCTGAACACTTTTTGGTCTAACACTCTGATAGAGATCAAGGATATGAAGGAGCTTAAATGCCTTCTAGGATGCAGTCCACTCCTAATACTCGAGATAGGAGCAAGTATTATGATTATCATCGAGATCATGGGCACACAATGGAGAACTGCAAAGCCTTACAGCGGGAGATTGATGCTCTAATAAAAAGGGATTCCTAAGTTCATATGTCAGTCAGGACAAGCGCCCAAGGAACGATCGTGACAAAAGGAAAAGGTCCCGAAGAAAGGGGGAATGACAAGCCCACAACGGAACCATTAACATTATTGTCGGGGTATAGCATCGAGAGGAGACTCGAACGGTGGGCGTAAGCAGTATGCTAGGCAATACACCCAACCTCAAAGTAAGATTATGATAACCTTGAAGACATCGCATTTGGGTCACGAGACTTGGATGGCTTATTACATCCTCACGATAATGCCTTGGCCATATCAGCCATCATAGCTAATTTTGAGGTGAAGAGGATTTTGGTTGACAATGGAAGCTCAACCAACATACTTTCTCTTGAGGCATACTCGAGGATGGAGATTTCGGCAGAACAACTCAAAGCAGTTAAAACCCCACTTCAAGTATTTGGAGGTGTTACGATCATATTGGAGGGAATAGTCAATCTTTCCCTTACCTTGGGATCGAATCAAAAGCAAGTGACTGAAATTACATCATTCTAAGTAGTCCATGCTTCAATAGTCTACAACGCCATTCTGGGAAGGGCATTGCTCAACATGATCAGAGCTATTGTTTCTACCTTCCACCTTACTATGGAGTTCCCTATAAGTAATGGCATATGAGTAGTGCGTAGAGACCAATTAGCTGCTAGATAGTACTATATTACTAGTGTTTGGGGAATAAGCACCAATGTCATGCAAATCTCGTCATCCGATCCTGAGCCCGACCTTAGAGGAAGACTTTCTCTTGTGGCAGAATTGGTAGACGTAGAGCTCGAGCATGGTAAAAAAGTGACGATTGGTCGAGATCTAGATGCTACCCTTTGTGCTTACAAGCTGCCTATCCTGCAATATTGATGTGTTCGCCTGGAATGTAGAGGACATGCCAGAGATAGAACCCAGTGTAGCAGTCCACAAACTTAATATTAATCGAGGAGCTAAGCTGTTACACCTCATCCACTTATAGTCAAAGTTAAAGTCAAAGTCAAAGTCAAATAAGGATTTAATTGAAAAAATAATTTTTACGGGGACTGATTGGTAATTATTAATAGTGGAAGGGCTAGAAATAATATATAAAGAAATCTAGAATGGTAGTTTATATTATTAGTAATGAAAGGACTAAATATAATTTTGTATGAAGTTTGGGGACTTGACTTTGCAATTTCCTTATAGTTATCCATACTTTGACTTTATCTATTCAAAATCTCATTCCTTTGGAAAGAAGAAAAACAGAGAAGAAAAGAGAGAAGAAAAGAGAGAAAAAGAGAAAGGAAAGGAAAGAAAAAAGGAAAAAGGGAAGAAGAAAAGAAAAGGGAGGATAAATGCTACAATCTTCAATTTCGTTTTCAATTCCAAAAGGTAAGCATAAATTTTATTTATTGAATAATGATATTAGATTTTAGGGTTTATGCAAGTTTTCCTAAATTCGAAATTTGAAATGGGTTGGTGAAATAAAAACATATTCTTTGGTTTTCTTTTGGGTATATGATGCTAAATACTTAAATTAGGGATTTGAAGTTAGAATTTTCCATGTTTTAGCAATTTTTGGACAAAATCNGGATCATCGTCGTAGGAACTCTTCCCTAGAGGGTTTTCAGACTATTGTTAATAGACTTAAGACTTACAAGGCCTAATTAGTCGTTTTCCCAAGACGTGCTCGTAAATCCAAGGTAATGTTGATTTTCATCAGTGGAAAATTGCTGTACATTCTTTGTTTCTTTTTTGACGATTGCTGGCTCCCTTGCAGGCTGGTGATTCTACTCCAGAGGAGTTGGCAACAGCTACTCAAGTCCAAGGATCTTACATGCCAATTGTACGGGAGAAGCCTACCGTGGAGCTCGTTAAGGTCACAGAAGAAATGAAGTCATTCAGGGCATATGACAAGCTACGTTTGGAACGAACTAACAAGCGCCATGTTGGAGTAAGAGCCAAGAGGGCTGCTGAAGCTGAAAAGGAAGAGAAGAAATAGTAAAATTTTAGCAACTGCGATTTTGGAATCTGTTTTGTTTTTGGGGGTCAGAATTGAGATACTGGATTTTTTTGTACCGTTGGTTCTATTCGAACTTCAATATTCTCTTTACGTAATTTGGTGCATTTGCCTTTACCCAAGTACGGGATCTTTAACCGCTTACATTTTTCATGTCATAGTCTCTCTAGTTCTTGCGACAATCAGCTTGACGTTGGTTACTGTTCCATCTACCCGATGTTTAGTTTCTAATCTATAACGAGTTCGGTGGTGATGATCCCAATATAGGCTAACTCCCACCTAGCATGACTTTTCCATATGATAAAAGTTTATCCAATTCGAATGTGTTTTGAGTCCCGCTATAAATATGATACCTTTTTCTACAAAAATTCTACCACTGAAGTTTTATTTTTATTCAAACACATTGATGGTACAACACCAATCATGTTCAAACTTCTAAGCATGGTAGAACTCCTAGGGATTTCAACAACATAATCATAACATGAATGTACAACCTATATAAATACAGCGATTCAATTCATTATTTAGGTACGTTTTTACATAATTTTCAACATACATTCTTTTCATGAATTCTCTCTGACTTAAGCATATGAGGGGCGATGATGACACACATCGACGTCTTTGTTTTAGATACCGGAAGATCACGTTTGTGCTCATTCTCAGTCGTCAAGTTCGGAAATCAATATGTACGATTTTTGGTAGCATCATGACGCCGTCTGTGGGAATTACTACCAGAAGCCATGGTTAACACATGTCTAAGTCTTTCTCTAGCAAGCTCATCCGCACTGGACCATCTTCCTACTACAGAGCCCCTAGCTCATCAAGGAGAATCATTAGCAATACCAACCCCCCAACCACAAGTGGTTACAGCCGGAGCTTTCGAAGAACTCCGTCAACAGGTTGCAATGTTAACTCAATTATTAAGTCTGAGGAATCTTCATCCAGTGCAGGAATAGGTGTCGGCACCAACACCAACACCGATAGCAGGATAAACAGGGAGATTCATACCCGCGATGCTAACGACAATGGTGGATCTGGGGCCTCAGGCGTACCTCCAGTTGCCTCGACCTCGAGGATCATTACCATGGACTCAAGCGAACTCGTTCGGATCATATAGGATGAGATCACTGCTAGCTACAACAGAACATCCAGGGGACGTCATGATTTACCCCTAACACTCCTTTCACACTGGAAGTACTTTCTTATCCGCTCCCAGACTGAATCAAACTCCCCCACATAAAGGAGTATGACGGAACCACTAACCCCATCAATCACCTCAATGTATATACAGATGTAATGAATCTACATGTGGCACCAGATCCTGTGATGTGTAAAGCTTTTCCACAAACAGTGACTAATGCTAGGGATTGGTTCTCTACCTTGGAGCTCAATGCCATTGCTTCATTCTCTGACTTGGTCGACAAGTTTTCCGCCTTCTTTGCCAGTAGCAAACTCATCAAGAAAACAGCCGCTTCCCTCATGCAGCTTCGCCAAGGACCGAACGAATCCCTACGTAACTTCATGACAAGATTTAACAACGAAAGACTTCAGATACTCGACCTATACATAACAGTTGTAATCTCCGCCCTTACATATGCCATAAGATGTGAGGCCTTCAAGATGTATCTATCAAAAACCCCGTCGAAGTAGGTGATCAAGCTCCTTACCTGAGTAGAAAAATATATTAATATGGAAGAGATATTGAACCTGAGGAGAGCTCCTCATCCGACCTCTAAAAAACACGAACACAAAGACAACACGATTTCCATCCTCTTCTGGAAGCTCACAGGAGTAAGCAAAGCCAAGAGATGCAGGTGACATCATTCACCCGGCTGAACACTTCCAGGTCTAACACTCTGATAGAGATCAAGGATATGAAGGAGCTAAATGGCCTTCAAGGATGCAGTCCCCTCCTAATACTTGGGATAAGAGCAAGTACTGTGACTATCATCGGGATCATGGGCATACAACGCAAAATTGCNTGCAGTCCCCTCCTAATACTCGAGATAGGAGCAAGTATTATGATTATCATCGAGATCATGGGCACACAACGGAGGACTGCAAAGCCCTACAACGGGAGATTGATGCCCTAATAAAAAGGGATTCCTAAGTTCATATGTCAGTCAGGACAAGCGCCCAAGGAACGATCGTGACAAAAGGGAAAGGTCCCGAAGAAAGGGAGAATGACAAGCCCACAATAGAACCATTAACATTATTGTCGGGGTATAGCATCAGGATGAGACTCGAACAGTGGGCGTAAGCAGTATGCCAGGCAATACACACGACGTCAAAGTAAGATTATGATAACCTTGAAGACATCACATTTGGGTTACGAGACTTGGATGGCTTATTACATCTTCATGATAATGCCTTGGTCATATCAACCATCATAGCTAATTTTGAGGTGAAGAGGATTTTGGTTGACAATGGAAGCGCAACCAACATATTTTCTCCTGAGGCATGCTCGAGGATGGAGATTTCGACCAAACAACTCAAAGCAGTTAAAACCCCGCTTCAAGGATTTGGAGGTTTTACGATCATATCGGAGGGAGTAGTCAATCTTTCCCTTAGCTTGGGATCGAATCAAAAGCAAGTGACTGAAATTACATCATTCAAGGTAGTCCATTCTTCAATGGTCTATAACGCCATTTTGGGAAGGGTATTGCTCAACATGATCAGAGCTATTGTTTCTACCTTCCACCTTACTATAAAGTTCCCTATAAGTAATGGTATATGAGTAGTACGTAGAGACCAATTAGCTGCTAGACAGTACTATATTACTAGTGTTAGGGGAATAGGCACCAACGTCATGCAAATCTCGTCATCTGAACTTAAGCCCGACCTTAGAGGAAGACTTTCTCCTTTGGCAGTATTGTAGATGTAGAGCTCGAGCACGGTAAAAAAATGACGATTGGTCGAGATCTAGATGCTACCCTTTGTGCTTACAAGCTGCCTATCCCGCAATATTGATGCGTTCGCCTGGAATGTAGAGGACATGCCAGGGATAGTACCCAGTGTAGCAGTCTACAAACTTAATATTAATCGAGGAGCTAAGCCGATCAAGCAAAGGAAGAGACCGTTTGCACCAGAACACCGCGAGGTCATACGGGAGGATATTCATAAGTTAATCAATGCTCGATTTATTCGTGAAGTTCAGTACCCCAATTGCCTCACCAACATTGTCCTCGTCAAGAAGGCCAACGACAATGAAGAGTATGTATCGACTTTACAAATCTTAACAAGGCATGGCCAAATGATAGCTATCCCCTACCTCGAATCGATAACATCGTGGACAGTACATCGGACCATAAAATGTACAGCTTCCTCGATGCATCTTATGGATATCATTAGATCCTCATGGCTAAGGAAGATTAAGAAAAAACATCATTTGTGGCTGACTCGACCATATATTGTTATAGGGTCATGCCATTTGGGTTGTTGAAGGCATGAGAAACCTATCAGAGACTTATCAACAAAACTTTTGTCAGGATGATTGGAAAAAATATTGAGCCTACGTGGATGACATGGTAGTCAAGAGCAAGCAGGCAGACCAATATATCACAGATCTTGATAAAGTGTTCTCTACTCTTCGGGAATATAAAATGAAATTAAATCCAGCAAAGTGCACTTTTGGGGTAGTCTCAGGCAAGTTCTTGGGCTTCATGATCACGTAAGGAATTGAAGCTAGTCCGGACAAAATACAGGCCCGACGTCCACGGAGTCTCCTAGCAGTAAGAAAGAGGTGAAAAAACTGATGGGTTGGGTTGCCGCCTGAACAAGTTCATGTCTCGCACAGCAGATAGATGCTTTCCTTTTTTCAAAGGTTTTAGGGGAAATCAAAACTTCGAGTGGAACGAGGATTGTGAGAAGGGATTCTTGACCGCCATTAATTTTTTTAGCCCTATTTGAGCAATGGGGGTGTGGACATCGTCAATCCTTTTCCACTTACCCGATGACAATTGAAGTTCGTCCCGTAACTGTGGAACACTTTACTAAGTGGGTGGAGGCCCAGACCAAGCCCCTGGCAACAATTTCAAAGCCCAAACTAAGGTCATTCATCGGAAGTCCATTGTTTACAAGTTTGAAATATCCAAGATCCTCATAACTGATAAAGAGAGGCCCACCCACATTTCAGAAACTTTTGCACCAACCTGGGGATTGACCATCGTCTTACATCATTTTCACATCCTCATAGCAACGACCTAGCTGATATTATAAATCAGATTATCTTGCAGGATCTCAGAACGAGGCTCAGAGAAGCTAGAAGGGCTTGGTCTGATGAGCTACCCTCTATACTTTGGACATATAGGCCGTCTCACAAAACAGATAGGTGAGACCTCTTTCATGTTAGTATTTGGTGTAGAGGCTACACTTCCAATTGAGATTAGACTGCCGTGCCTCAGGAGACTTGAGCCCATGTTCGAGAAGCACATGATAAAACACCTTGACCTCCTTGAAGAAGTAAGAGAAAAAGTCGTCATAAGGGTTACATCTTACCAGAACAGATCAACTAAACACTTTAATAGCAGGGTAAGATCTAGGAGGAGATCTCGTGTTAAGAAGAGCTGAAACAGCGGGACATACCCTGTCAAGTTAGGACTTGTTTGGGAAGGACCCTTTGAAGTCATACATCCTAAGAGACACCTTGGGAAGACCACTATCTAGGCTGTAGAATGCTGACAATTTGAAGATTTATTATAAGTAGTATATTTTACTTTTAGCTATTAGTTTTTCTTTTTGCTTTTTCTTTGGTTTGTCAGGCTTGCACGCCCCACGTCTTTTTTACTTTTTAGTTGGTTAGGCCTGTCTGTCCACATTCAGTTTTTATGTATGTTTTGATTAGTTAGATTCATGATCTATCCCAATAAAATACTTTTATCTCAAATGACCTCAAAGCTTTTCCCTGTGCAAGCACCTCAAAGCCTTACCCTGAGCAAGTACCTCAAAACATTGCCCCGTGCAAGTACGTCAAAGCCTTACCC